TCATTTACATTCTACTATTGTTATAGCAAATACCTGTAAATTAATAATTGTCATCCATATTTTATCAATCACCACCATTTCTGTGCTTCTCATAACCATGTAAGTTAAAAATTTTTATGAATTTTGTAACAGTGAAAAATTTTATGTTAACGTGTATGCATTATTTCCTAGTTACATCACAAAGAGTTGATATGGGACTCGAAGTCCAAAATGTATACTCTAGGAAATAAAATGTGATGTTCTAAAGCTTGTCTGTTGATGGTGTAATAAGTCTAGCAAAAAAGAAAAGCCATCATAGAGCTCATAAATTGAATCTATTGTCATGTTGTTGATTGGTCAGGTCGTCAACTTTCTTTAACATAGGAAGTATAGGGAGTTGACAATCTGTGATCAGCTCTTGCTGAGTAGCTTGTTCTGCAACCAAGTTATATGGCAACCTGTGCAATGATGAGTTTGAAATTCTGTTTGTAAACTGATTTGTTAAAAACCAATATTTGACTTTAGTTCTTTTGTTGAAGGAAAAAATTTAAAACTGTAATGTCTTATCTAATGAATCAAAAGCCTGGATAATATTTTAATGCCTTTAAATGGATTAAATTTTAATTTTATTCGTAACATTTGATATTAAAAGTTAATAATTAAAAAATTAAATACCTTTAACTTTTAATTATTAACATTAATAGATAATAGGATCTTACCATCTATCATTCAATCAAATTCATTAGTTTAATTATCCAAAAATAACTTGATTAATAAAATTTGCATATTAATCTTTTTGTGAGTAATTTCATTTATAGATAGAAAGTCAAACATACTTATTTGATGTATATAAATATTTTCTTGAAGGGTAATTAAAACAACAGCTAGAAAGTTATTAACTATGTACACTAAAGTATAAAGTTTCTGCTGGAACAGCAACAACTGACAATGATAACAAATAATAGATGCCAAACAAAGTCAAGGCTAACGAGAGGGTCACAGTATATGGAAAATCTTCATTTATTTTTTTGTTCTTACAAAAAGCTTTTAACCAATTCATGTTTTCCTTAAAAAAATGAATTCTGTAAAATTTTATGTAAGAATAGTATATTTGCAAGAGAGAACCATCCAATCTCTGTTTGGGTTTGTGAACAAACATTGATACCTTTTCAATTCAAAAGGATATTAAATACAGTAGACCCTACTATAACACGATAGATATGTTCTGGTTTTTATGAATCCGTTTTCTATGAGTCCAGCCAATCACAGCCCGGCACATATGCAATTTACAGACTGCGGCTGTTTGAAAGGTTTCTTCCATAAAATTAATCAATTCTAGACTAATTTGACTCAACATTTCCAAAATACGTATAATTTTTGGGAATAATCCATATAAACTATGCTATAAACAAAAATTTGTAGGATTACTTACCGAGTGTGCACCGTTCGATGACACCATTGCTTAAGCATGTTTTCATCATGAAGCAGCGCATCGAATGACGGGCGCGTGTTTCCTGATAAGTTATTTTTCTGTTATAAATTTGCTGAACTTTGGAGACATCATTAATATAAATATAATTTTTATGGCCGTTAAATAATAAATGGTTTTTGGTAGGTCCGCTGCTTGTTTAAACTTAACAGTTTGTGCAATATCCACTATTGGTCTAGATTCGACCAATCCTGTCACGACATGAGTCGGCGATGACATTTTACTGCATTATACGAGTTTCTTTTAGCGTGTTTATACAAATACAATCACAATTTTTTTGCCATATTATACGAATCCGTATTATATGAACCTGTTTTATAGGGGGGTCTACTGTATTGAATTGATCAAAAATTTTGTTCATTTGTCAATGACAATACAATCAGTGCACTAATTCAAAAAGAATCCACATTATACTACTGGGGAAAATGCAGAAGTATTATCCATCTCTAGAGATCAATTGTTGGCCATTTAAACAAGTTAGGATATTTATCATGCTGTGATGTTTTCATACCATGTCAATTGTGTGAGATCTGACGGCTAGAATAACTTCCTGCAATTTGCTCTGAAACATAACTGGCAGGTACCCTTTTTGAACGACTAATTACTAGCATTGAAAAATGGATAGTTTGATGATAATGTGGGGCAAAAAGAGGTTGTGCAGAAAATCAATTGACTAACTGCAAAGCGGTCAAAAGCTGATTCATATCCAAAAAAATATTTTGCTATATATACAAGATAAATGGTAACTTAATCATCTTCCTTTAGACCAAATTTCATTATGCATTTATTTGTACATTTAATTAGCCAAGTTATAGCATGACAAATCAGCCATTATTATTTGAGAAAGTTAAACTACATTTAGATCTAAATAAAAAATATAGAATGTAAAACTGACTTATGATAAATACTAAATTAAATATAACTTATAATTATGGTAATTAACAAGTCAAAAAGAAGAAAAGCTATTAGTGTTTTTCTTTCATTTTGTTTAAAAATAATTATTATATATTGCTATCTGAAAAAAGATAATTAATATTTATAATGTATTTACTACTATATTAATAGAATATCCATTATCTGAGAAACTTAACTTGTCATTTTTAGAATAATGTTATTCTACAGTGCCATGTTATTTCATTCAATTAGTATAATTTTTTAAACAATTTCTAAAATAATTTTGTTTTAATGTCTTAATAATAACTCAAACTAAAATTTATTTTATGCAATATCATCACATAGTTTTCTTTACTGATTCTTAATTTTTTAAAAATTGCAGATAATTAGATCAGATTTATCAAAAACACTAAGACCAATTACATTAGACACAAATATTTATGTTTGTTCAGGTGACATCTTTCTGAAAGGATACATAAAGTTAAACACTAATTTTTCATAAAAACTTAACTTTTTACTACATGAATTTCCTTGTTTATCTGAACTATTATATAAATTTTTTTAAAATTTCTAAATTAAATATAAGCATTTTATATTAAATTTGTAATATATAACAAATTAAACAACAAATGCCATTCATATTATAAAAAAAATCCAATAATAACTGGGTCAAGTTATTCGTTAGGTAAGTTATTTATTTCAATGAACTATCACTTTGAAATAACAGAAGCTATAAATTACTTTTTCAGTTCATTTTCCAATCCTTTCAACATTTAATACTGAGATATCATTGAATTACCAGTTCACTTTCAACAATTTCATTAATTTCAAATTGAATATCGTAAAAAGAGTATGACAACTAATCCAATAATAATAATAATAATAATAGTAATAACTCTCCCGTGGTCACCACCTGGTCGTGGTGGGAGAGCCCAGTAGTTTTACAGATCCATAGGGCAATGCAGGCTGGAGCACAAGCTCCTGGTAGGGACACCCATGCCAGTAAGGTCTATGGGGAGAAATGAAGCTAAGAGTGACCACACACCCACATTCTGTGGAGATANTATGGTTTCTGGGTGTATAGAAGTTTGCATTTGAGTGCTATTATTATTATATATTTGTATGTCATATACAACTAGATCTAAGTGATAATTACTTTTATATATTACAATTAAATTATGTAAATATATTAGTGATGTAACAAATAGTATATTCGGTCTCAGGCCAAATATTCGGCCAAACTATTTTGGCTTGATTAACGCACGTACAAAAATTGGCGCGCAAATCGCATTATATGGCAAGGATCGCGCACTCTGCTCTCTATTGGCCTGCTGTCACTACACTTCGCCAATCGCGTTAATTCTTGACAGTTGTAGTGAACAGACAAGAGCTTCATGGCAGTATGCGATAAATGATGATATCAAATGTGAATAACAATGAAATGACCTACACGTGTAAATAACGGAAAAAGAACAGAGAAGGACCGCAAAGTAAAAATGTGAAAATAAATATGAAATTGAGTAGATAACATAATTGAACAAGTCGAAGCAGCTTATTGGCGCAAAATTCACAGCCGTCAATGCCAAACAATTGTTGTCATAGGCTTCAGAAAGCTAAATGCTTGTAATGAAAGTCACTTAACATGCCTGGGACCGTTCGGGCTACCAAGCTGTCTCGAATCTATGAAATCATAACTGTGACAGATACCAACATCCTATCTGTCTCTCTTCTCCGTTATCACCAGGCTATGAGTCACGTAATTATAAAATGGAAAAACTACGATGGAAAAGTGACGAATCAAAAGTATCATGAGTGTGTATTATGATTTATGCATAGGCATACATGGACTAGAGAGATGAAGGAAAGAGAAAGGAAATAGCAAAGATGAGCGCTTAAAAAGGATAGGCAGGGTCAGACCCTTACATATGTGCAACAATTCTCGAACGAATAGGTGTGTACATGTGCTGATCTTTGTAATTATAAATTGTGAATACATGTGACTAAATATTATTATTTTTTTATTTTGTGCATGTTATAAGTTATAAATAAATATAAACAAACAACACTAACCAGACAACATTAAATCTAAATACCAAAACGATTAAGTTACTGTGTTTTTGTTATTTCTTACTCCTGTTTTTAGGTATTTGGCCGAATAGTGATTAAATATTCAGTATTCAGCCGAATAGCGAAAAATAGACCGAATACTGAATAGTAACCGAATATTCGTTACATCACTACTAATTATCATACTCTTTAGGATATCACTTATTACAGTAAACATATTCCTAAATTTTGTTTGCATTAAAAAACTGCTATAGAATATTTTCCTCAAAAATTTGTTGAATTACATTTCTAATTATATATTTAAAGTTAAATATTTTTCCTTGGCATCTTAATACAATTATCTCTGAATTCATTATAATTCAAATATAAAAATAACCAAATTCAAATAACATTATAAAAAATTATTTCTGTAATATACACATACTAACAAATAAAACATTCTAGTGAGATATATTCATAAACTGTTAATTTTATGTAACTTCAAATTGTTTATAATGTATTGAAATCATTTTTTAAATGCAAAAGTTAATATTAAAAGAAAGATTTTGTAAATAAAATAAATATATCTTACCTGGGTGGAAAACTAATTTCAAATTCATATAATTCATTTTCAAACGTTTGAGGTTCCTTATCAAAATCTCTTAACTGAAAGTTAATACTTAAATTTTAATATTCAAAATTTTTTTGACAGCTTAATCTATAAAATTAAAAAAAAATGTACTATTTGCAATGAATTACTGTCATACTTTATTAGTGAGAGCTATGGATCATTGGAACTAAGTCAAAACTTCAAACGTAAACACCCTGAATTTTATAAATACTGACATATGTGTAATTATGACTATTTTTCAATGTAAGTGAAATTTTTTTTTAGCAATTTTAGAGTTAAATAATTCTAAAATTGCTAAAATTTGTAGTAAAAGTAAAAACTTAGGTCTTCCTCTGATGAAAAACTATTCTGTAGATTTTCTAAAATTAGTTTTATAAAACTGACAATATCAAATGTTTTATTTTGAATTTGTGTATGCAAATCCAACTTATGAAACTTACATATTTCTGATAAGTTTCAATACCAGTATACTTATTTAAAATCTATTTTAAACTTGGACAATAGTTTTTAAGTTTAAATTCTTTTGAGATTATCAAAATTTATAAATAAATTTTGTCTGTATTTTTGCACTATATAAGAAAACTTTGAATTGGAATTCTCCAAGTTTTGCTTGTCCTTTTCTGTTTCGCAGTCTATCTTATGGTTTCTTTTTATATGGATGTGATTCCAAATAGAACAAGTTTTGTCAATATAAAATCAGTTATTCTGTTCTTAGTATTCGAACTCACTGGTACTATCATGTAAACAAAGAATTGAAATTAAACTGCAAGTATATTTTGATAATATCCTTATCTAGGTCCATCTAAATATTCTCTCTTCTTTAAACTGAAATTTATCTTTAGAGATTAAGTTTTGAAAACAAGGAAATTAGAAAAGTAGATTTATAAAAACTTCTTATGAATATAAGAAAGTTTGACCATGCCAACAAATAGTATAGTTTTAAGGAATAAAGTTTAAAGAATAGCAACAAAAACTTAGTTTTTCTATCTTTCAATATTTTTTGACTTTTAATCCTGAAGCCTTCGCAGACATCTTGTATATTAAAAAAAATGAAATATTAAGAAAAATAATCAAAGTTCAGATACTATTAAATAATCTTTTGGAAATTTTAAATGATATAAAATTACAATTAAAAAATTTCAACTTACCCATTTTCCATTATTTTTTAAAAATGTTTCTTCATGATTTTCCAGATCAAATACCTTTTTTTCTAATGTTAATACTACCTGAAAAAAGGATATATTGTCAAAAGTAGTCATATTTTTAAATTATTTTTTAAATGATAAAAATAACAATATAAAGTTTAAAAGTAATCAATATTATTATGATGGTGTTGATGGAGTTTATCAATGCCATACCAGGACCAAGGCTTAACTATAAAACAAGCTATTGTGGTGAGATCAATGAAGAGGTCATGTCATACCCCTACTACTGATGGTCTTGGTCAGGTGCGTTGCTTGTTCTCTTGGTGGCATGGTTGATCAGTCAGACAATCACAGAGTTTGATCCAAAATATATACACTTAATTGTATTTGGGGAAATACAATATAGAATGAGCATGGTTGCATGAATGAGCATGTACAATATGTTCCAAAAGAAACTTTTGCAACATATTGTACATGCACATGCTCACCAGCCCAGCAGAGTTAACACAAAGATTTACTTCCGATGCCAGAGAGTTCAGCAGTGTTGCCAGTCCCACGGATTATTTCATTCATTTATCATTCAGTGTTGTTGCTCCTGGAGGTCACACTATTATTATGTTTGTGTATTTTTTCACATGTGTATGTACTTTAGGAATTTTCTGACTATGTGATGTTTAGTATGGTAGCCTTCTATAATGTAATTTACATGGTATAATACCTACGGTAGAAAAGACTACTGGAACAATAAATGCTATTTTACACACACACATTATTTCTTGGATAAGTTGAATATTTACTAATTTTTCAGTACAGTAAAATCTGTCTAAAACAAAAACCTGCCTAAATGAAAAAAATCCATTGGAGCAAAGCCATTTCCTATATTAAATGTTACTACAAACTGGAAACTTGTCCAATGCAGAAACAAAACAGGTTTTTGGATATAAAGATCATAACCTAAATAAAGCAGGAGATTAAGATTCCATGTAAAATACACAGCACAGACTGCAACAAAGTGTATTCTAAGAATGATTTCTAATCCTTTCAGAGAAATAAGAATCTCATGACAAAATACATATAGAGGCACAGAATCTTTGTTAGAATTAATGAGGGGCAGAATCAAATACCTTGAGAATTGATAACTTTCAAGAATAAGGAGTTTCCAGGAATTGAATTTTCAAGAACAAATAATGAAAATAACTCATGAAATGGTAAGAATAAAGTAATACAGTGTTGCCAATTTGCCTTGAACAGAGCATTTAATAACTAACTAGTACCAAATATTTGAGAACTAGTTGATTAATATGTTGATAATTACAGGTATCAAAGTTAACTCAATTTCTATTAAAATTCCTCGAGAAATCAGATCACAGGATAACTATCTCTATTACTGTAACAAATTACCAATGGCAGAATAATCTACTGGTTCTTAGTACTTTAATTGGCTTATTTGTTGTCATGCAAGTTGATAAGGATCATACTTAAGAAGTATTCAAACATCTAGCAAAAGTTTTCAGGAACAATGAGAACTTTTTGCATTCAAATAGTTCTCAGTTCTTGCATTTGAATACTTCCATTTTTAATTGAAATCACTTAGAATAAGAACATTCAGACACTGTCTTAGATAATTGTATGAATTAATTTGTAAGGAAAATATTTATATTCTTTCTTCAAAAAACATGAAAGAAGAATTTGATATAACTATCAGGAGGAAACAGTTGTAACTGGATACATTACATATTAATTTAATATGAAAATCTATAACCAATAATTTTCCATTACATTTGTTGAAAATTTAACAAATCCTAAAGTTTAATTTAAAATTATTATATATATAAAATTTTAAATTAAGAGTTTAATAATATATATTATGCAATATCATCATAAAGTACTCAGCAAATCACCAAACATAAATAACACCTTATCTTTGCCGAGAAATATATTTATTTCAAAACAAATGTTTTCAGCCTGATTCGCAGGCAATCCTCAGGTTGAGAACAAAATTTCAATTAAAGCATTCCATTAATGGAATACAAAATTCAAAATTAAATAAGCAACGAAATAACACACAATAAAAATTAAACTATTAAATAACCAATGTAGTAACATAAAAATATAAAAATGTAAAATATGTACATAGAAGTATTAAGAAATATAATTATTAACACATCCAATAAAATTACTATTTAGACTGGTTAGAGCTCTTATTAAATTTTTTAACTATAAATTTCCATGCAGCAGGAAGACATTAATGGAATGCTTTAATTCAAATTTTGTTCTCAACCCAAGGATGGCCTGTGAATCAAGCTGAAAACGTTTGTTTTGAAACAAATATATTTCTCGGCAAAGATAAGGTGTTATTTATATATATATAATGATGCATTTGATACAAGGTTATAATTAATTTCTTTTTATATACTCAATTTATCAGTCATTTTCTATAAAAGACAAAAGTTTAAACTTGACTCCTATCAGTTTGTAATAAAATGATCGAACCAATAAAAATCAATAAATAAAAAATAAACATATCTTAATTTATTATTAGTTTTGACAATATAACCTAAACAAACATTCAATTTAACTATCTCAAATTTCAGAGAGAATATAATAGTAATATATAGCAACTTAAATAAAAAAATAATGAAACTTCTCTCTTTTGTACTTGATTGCCTTTTGTTCTCATTGTAATTGTTATGAGTAAGCATACAATTGTTTGAGAGAACAAATCATACAGGAATTTTTCTCATTAATAAATACATTTTAATCAAACTTTTAAAATATATGTACTTGAAAAGGTTCAAATAAATTTTTATGTAATGTTTTATAGTTATGCAATATTTCATCTGCATACTTGGCAGAACTTTTTTATAGAAAGATAAAAAAAATCTTTAAACAAACACAATGTAAAAAATTACTTTCATTTATTACATTGTAATATAAATAAAATATGTCAATATTAGACTCTCTTTTACTAAATAAATTTTAATTATATTTAAAATTAGTTCAAATTTGCTTTAAAATATTATTAAAAATTGAATTGAAAAAAATGTACATAACTTACTTTGTTTTCATTAACAGGATCCCTATATAGCATTTTAACAATTTCACCATTTTTGGCACTCTTTATGTGAATTGGTGTTGCCTGATTAGTTATTGTCTAATTCAAACAAACACATTCATTTATAAATCTTTAAATACCATATCAAAAATTCAAACATTAATAAATCAAATACCTGAATAACACTTGGAGTATCGAGCCTAAAATTAAAGTCACCAAATATGAAAAAAGGAACTTTATCATATTCATCTGTTTGAAATCTAAATTAGAAAACAAAAAGATATTTTAAAATATTTTGTAAGTATTAATAATATATTAAGTATATATTTATTACATTAAAATTTACTATTTAGAACTATAAAAATATGCATCTATATAATTTTAGTAAATGGACATTTTATGACATTATGTACTAATCCTAATAATAATAATACTGAATATATAATAATGTGATGGTAATCATTATAATCAATCATGTTTCTCTATGAAAATTTATTAATGAATTAATTATATCCATAATTAACTTATCTCTGAAACATTAGAAATATACATAAGCTGTTTTTTTTTTCAACCTCTGATGGTTCATAAAACAAAAACAAGTGTAAATAACAAAATGAGTTTATTACCAAAAGTTAGGTACAAACGTGGTTAGTTTTTGACATAATCACTGTGACGATTGAGGAATTTGTCATATCTGTGATGAACTTTTCCATTATCTCTTCGTAAAATGTTGCCGCCAGTGAATGGAGATGGCCTTAATGACGTTTTGAAGATTGTCATTAGTCTCAAACCTCTGCCCTCTTAGTCATGTTTTCTGTTCAGGAAAGATGTGGAAGTCACTTGTTACCAAATCAGGGCTATATGCTGGGTGTTTAAAGTGGTAAAGACTTCCACACAGCTTGATACTTTTAAATGTGTGAAAACTTCCACACCTGTTTCCTGAACTGAAAATGTGGCTAAGTTGGCAGAGGTTTGAGACTAATGAAGCTCTTCAAAACAACGTCATTAAGGCCATCTCCATTCACTGGCGGCAACATTCTATGAAGAGGGGATTGCAAAGCTCATCCACAGATATGACAAATGCCTCAATTTTCATGGTGATTATGTCAAAAAGTAACCACGTTTGTACCTAACTTTTGGTAATAAATTCATTTTGTTATTTACACTTGTCTTTGTTTTATGGACCATCAGAGATGGAAAAAACTGCCCTCGTATTAAAACAGATACATGAAATTGAACAAATTTGATATATCTTAATAACATGGTTTCTTGATTCTAAAATGCATCATGACTTTGAAACTGAATTTTAAGATAATTTATGGAAGAAAAAATTTATATTATGAATTTTAATAAAATTTTTTGAAAAGGTAATAAGTTAGAAAAACAATACAAATGTCATGAAATAAATCATTTTGAAGCTATTTCCATGTTTTTCTGTGTATTTAATGACTATTAGCTTTATTGATGAATACAATGTTATTTTAACAACATTAAAAACAAGCTTAAACTAAACAGCAAAGCTCATTTGAACTGATGTGACATTTGAGTATTATATAACCAAATATTTATTATTCATGCATTATATATATATATATGATATGATATGCTTGTGTTAAATGCCAATTGCCAGTTTAAACAGTGAATGTAAGACATCATTGATTCTAACATCCCTATTTTAGACAAGAGTAAATGAGTAAAAAATGAGTATTTTAATCAAAGAAATACATTTTTATATCTGAAACTTTCATTTACAAATTGAACCTGATTTCCAATTATTAATTTGCTTTTAGTTATAATATTCTCATTTATAAATTAATTAGTGTTGCCATCATTTCTGAATCTGGAACATGTTACATATACTTAAGGCCTTTTGTACAATTAGCCTGAGATGAGTTCAAGATTCCAGGCAGCTTACTTAACCATCTTGAATTAATTTCTGATGCTTACTTTTAAGATACTAAAGAAACTAGTAAATAGATAAAGAATATGAAGAGGAAATTTTCTCAAATATCTACTAACAATCTAGCTAGTCATACAAAATAGCATCTTAAAAATTAGTTTTTCCAAATTGAAAATGCTCCTTATGTCAAGAAGATTGCCATTGTTACATTTTTAACATTGGAACATGATATAATAATTTAAAAAGTATAGAGCCAATTATTTTAAACATTTGAAATACAGAAAGAAAAGTTTTAAATTCAAAACTCAAAATCACATACTAATGTTTAAATAAATTTTCACTCTAAAAGTTATCTAGCATTTGGCCTGATCTGTAAAGCAAACGATCCTATAATTAAGCTGATTAAAAAAATGAGTTTCTTAACTTTCCTGGCAACATTTAAAATTTTAGTGGTGCTATCTGTTATATTTTATATAAATAAATTTTTTTAAACTTATATTTTTAATTACTGTAAAATGGCAAAAAACTTAATTTTGAGAGTACAGAATGGCTTAATAAAAAAATTGTAAATGCTTAAATGTTAATAATGAGTAAAATTGTCATTAAGTCTGACCCCACTGAATACAACACACATTTATTAAAAAAATTATTTTACAAGAAATTTATATAACAATGCCATTCAATTTTTTTTTTTTTTTTTAATGAATACTATATATAGGATACAATTTGTTTGAAGTTAATTTCAGAATTATGAAGTGCATATTAAAATCTGCTAATGAGAGGAATTAAAATTTGAAAATGTTTTAATTTTACTTCCAAAAGTTTAGTTTGTAGATTATTTTAACTTCAGCATTATATAATAAAAAGATTTGATAATGATGAGAATTTTTTTCCCAAAGATGTTACTCGATAGTTTTTGATAATTCAGTTTTGAACATATAAAAGGCTCTGTTAATTAAATAAATTAACAAAGCCAAAAAAGTAAAAATGAATGTTTTTACTTTCTTGGCTCTGTTATATATAACTGAGGGAAAGTATGGCGATCAGTGAAAAAATTACCCCCCCCAGATTTTCTGTTTGGACTTGACTCTGAAATGTCGAGAAATTCTAAAAAATTGGGTGTTTTTTTGTATGTATGGGGGTGTGAGGGGGGCACAATTTTGTTTACTCTTAATAACTTGTGCTTTTTGTTGAAAATTTCTGAAATTTTGTAGAGAGGTTTATTTATCATGGGGATTAATGCTATTAAATTTTAATGGTTAAAGATTGATAGAGTGGGGGAGATAAAGGGGGTTATCCCTGCTTATATAGCATGAGATTTTTTTAAGTCATGAAGTTACGGTAATCATTTATGAAAAAAATTACGATTATATCTTTTATTTCAATCAGTTTTTTCCCTTTCAACATCTTTTTATATTTATTTTGTTGTAATTTCATTTGAAAAAGGAAATAAATAAACATATCAGCTTTCACTTAGCTCAAGTTTCAGGGACCAACGGCAGTTTCGTTTGTAATTGGAGAAGAAAGTGTTTTCTTTCACAGTCAGTGTAGAGTTTATTATTTTAGCTGTCATCCATCCCACTGCTATTATAAACAAGCTGTTAATCGTAAATAAAAGATCCGGCTTACGTTCTGATGTCATTGGTGCTATCTATCCCTTTAAATGTTTTCTCTTCTTCTCTACGTTCAACCACTAATTTTCCAATATCTTTTAATATTGCATGAGATATCTTCATAATTTCCGCTAATCCAATAATAAATCCGCTAATAAATCCAGTATCGCTCTCTGAACGCTCTTTATGTCCATTTTGTCGTCTGCTTTTTGTTTCTCTTTTTTCCCCATTAAGTATTGCCTCTCATTTCCCTGTAAAGCAACTAAGTCTTGCAAGAAAGCCAAAGTTCTCTAATAAATTTATAAGTTTATTAATTTCTAATCATCTTATTAATTTCTAATTTCGACTTTCTTGCATATCATATTCTTGCTTTCATATATATACTTTTGTTCTCTGTAACAAGGCATATCTCTGTTACCTCATTTCGATCAATAAAAACATGATTGACTGGTATTTGCATTGTCTTATTGTCACGTGTTTCTCATCATTTTCACAATATAACAGAAAATATACTCTTTCATTATTTACATAATCAAAATTTCTATTGTTAATTAAAAAACATCTTAATATTTATTGAAAGATATAATTATTCATAATGATATAAGTAATATAATAATTATTCTTATCTAAAAAAATATAATAACCTTTTCAATATATATTCTAGAGCATGTTGTCTCTTTCTAGTATAAGCTGATGGAAACTAAAAAGTAAAAAATGAACCAGTAAATAAATTATTAGATACAAAATCATTTACATTTCTTTAATCACTACAAAAAATTTAAACTATTTACATTTATCATCATAATAAATATTTTTAAAATCTAAAAAATATTCTAAATATAGTAGAAACTCATTTTAATGGATCACAAAACAACGGATTTCTTGGGATAACAGATTTTTTTCCAGGTCCCACCAAATCAATGTAATTTTATCTCCTTTTAGTGGATCTATAATTCAGAATACCAGATTTTTTCTAGCTCCATCCATTGTAAATTTCATGTTTTTTTCTACTTTCAGTTAATAATTGGGTGTTTCTGGGAATTTGTAGAATATGACTATGTACTTCTTACAGCTGAAATATATACAGTAAAATTGAAGAATTGTACAAAGAGTCAATAAGCTGATATAATTGAGAAGTAACTACCTTGTGAACATTCTGATGCTGGTCCAAGTGTAGTGCCAAAATTTAGCAAAGCCATCAAGTCTTTCCAAGTCATGAAGACCTTCCTTTAGAGTTTGAGCATAAAAGAACAGACTGTATGTTACATTAATATTAAGTGATTATTCTATTTAATAGGCAGCATCAAATTGCTTTTCTGCAGCATCAAAACAAACTGAGATGGGCAAATTTTTTAACAAATCGTGAAATCAAGTAAAGTGTTAATGTGCTATGCAATCTTGTAACATACATGTTTCTATAGACTAAAAAACAGAGATCGAGAGATTGAATAGTTTCAAATACAGTAGAGCGTCGTTTATCTGAATCAATTGGAGACTAGGGTTGTTCGGATAACTTATTTTTCGGATAACCGATTATGTATGAAAAAACATATTAACCTATCCTGTGTTGAAATTTTTCTCCATTGCATGTCGCTTCGCGTTGAATTTTCGTCGATGTTAAGCCTAACGTAAACTTTTTAAAATAATAATCGTGGCTATTGTATCATTAAAAATGATTTCTTTATGTTTTACAAACAAAATAAATACATTGAAAAATATTAAAACAAATAAAAACTATACTTTAGAAGTTAATCTAGTATCAAAAACGTTTGATTCAGCACGACACACAGTGCTCAGAAAAAACACCACACAAAAGTGTCAGTGCTGCCAGCTAAAAAAAAACACATCAACAAAAAAAGTATTGGAGTAGCCCAAGATATAGCACCACAGCACTAGCGAAAATTTAAATTTGCCGACTGGAAATCTTTCGGATAACTGACGTTTCGGATAACCAACTTTTGGATAAACGACGCTCTACTGTATTGGCATTTCTTATATGTAGCGGATTAAAATACAGAAAGTTTTTCAAATAAATATTTTCCTGGGTATGTGGGAAATCAGTTGTTCATGATATAACATTCTCAGAACAACAAATGATTTTCAGTAACCACAGCAGTCCGTTAAACTGAGATTCTACTGTAAATTAAAGTTTTACCTAATTGTATTTAGTAATTTTTTTTAAACTAAATTTTAAACATATGCCAAAATTATTAGGTTAATCAATTATAACTAATGTTTGAAATACTATAGGTCTATAGATAGATATCGGATTTATTGAAATAATTTAACGTGATTATCTGTTAGTCCCATTTACTTATTATTTTTCAATATTTATTAATTTAAAATTAAAATTATATATATATATATATNTGTTATTAATAACTTGATAATTTTAGCAAGTAATTAGAATTTGATTTAATATACCAGATAAATTTGTATACAATTGAAATTACATTAAATTTAATTTGGAATAATGAACCAATTACAAAAGATTTCAATCTTAACTTTCTATTAATTAATTACTTTGACATTACAAAAAAATAAAAATAAATCTAATAACAAATTAGCCTAAGTTATATACAAAACTTAAATCCATACTTATTACATATTAACAACAAAATTAGTAAGTTAATCATCAGAATTAACAGAATATTAATAATCAAAATTTTAAAAAAGACAAAAACTTAATTAACAAAAATGTCAAAAAATACAAGAAGTTCATATTTTTTTATAATTCAATACAGTATTCATAATTTTGAAAAAATTGATTCTGTATTGAATTACAACAACAACAACATTGTATAAAATAAGCAGTTTATAAAAAAAAAAATTATAACAAACCAAAGATCTGAACTATGTGATTATTAGTGGGCTATAACAGTGTCATTAGTTAGATAATTAAACTATGCAATTTGGAATAAAGATTGTCAGTTAGGCTGCCATGCTGTTCTAATATAAACAATTATATTAATTTCATAATTAAATTTAGTAATCCTGATAGTCTGGAAGAAAAAATCAACAAAGACCTAGACACAAAATTAGTTTATGTAACCTAAAGAATTACATAGTTTAAATTGCAAACTTAACTTCAGTTTACCATACAGATGTGGATGCTAAACTGAGTAACACATGATAAACTTTTTATTTTATGATTATAAAAAAATGTTTTAAGTAAAAATAGAGCATTAAAAAGTTCATTTTCAAAATAAATATAAAGTTAATTCAAGATATTTATAGAATAAATAAACAAGTTTTCTTAACTTACTGCTTCTACCGAAACAAAATTTGAAGCATCATGGAACAGATGAATGTTGACGAGGTCAAATATGGTTCCATTTATATTCCATCTTGTTCTTATAAAGCCTTTTCTTGACCATTTGCACTTAAAACAAATATTTAAATGTTTAAATTCATTTGTTCTAGAAGTAATTTCTTTAGAATTAAACATATGAAACTTATATAAATTTATTGTACTTAATACTGTGGTAAAAAATAATATCTATTAAGATATTTATTTTACTTCAAAAAGCCAGTTTTTACTTTTACTTATATATTCAAGTTTAAACACTTATTACACTTTTCCAAGATTAAAATACTTATACAGATTATTAAAGCATGGAAGAAGACAATTTAAATATATATGTATGATATGCAAGATTTATTATTTTAATTAACTATATGAATTAAATCCAGTTTAACTATTACCTTCACATATTAACCATCATTTCTTTATTATTTAAATTACTTATGTCACGTGAAATATAGCATTTATCATATCAGTTAACAGTAAATGAAATTTTGTAGGTAAATTCAATTAGTTGAAAAGCAAAATAAAATTACAAGTAGAGCTGAAGTCAAATTAACCATTAAACATTTGTTGCAATTTAATAAAATGACCTTCAAAAACAAATTTACCTAGAAGAAATATTTTATTAGATTAAAAATTTTCAAAAATATTTCATTGTAAAATTCCCACATGGGTAAATTTTAAATATCACATTAAACATTAAAAATAACTGAATATATTAATCCAAACTAAACTCATATTCTAAGTTGTAAATAAAGAAAACTCAGTAGCAACAATTTAGATTTCAATGAACCACTTCTGAAATTTTTCCAATATTTCAAGTTTTTGAGACAAAATACTGAATATTGTCAATAAGTGACATGAAAAGTAAAAAAATAAATGGAGTTTCATAGTTTCGTATTTCATTCAAATGCTAATTATATTTTAAAAATTCTGAGTATTAATATATATTAATTAGTTACTCATTTTCTTATTTCATTTTTTAAAATAATTTTATAATTTTATTAAGTGTTTTTAAATAGCTTTTAATTTCAAATTAAATTGTGATTTTATTCATTACTAACTTTATCCATTCTCATTTCAAGATTTTTCATGATATTAAAATAAAATTTAAAACATTTCAATTAGGAAATTTATATTTGTAATTTGTAAACTTTTCTACAATTATTAAATACAAATGTGATGAATTCAATTGAAAATAACTATTGAAAAAAAAATTTTAATGGACAATGAAAGAATTTTTCCTTATCTATGTAACAGCATTTATTGGGATGGTGTAATGAATACTGAAAACTAATATTTCAAGATGTGCAATTCTTTCCAGAGTTTACTGCATTTTCTTATTCTGTCTATCTTACACTTACATATAACTCCTCTTATAATTTTCAACATTATTAAAAAGTAATAAGGTTCTTTATATTCAAAATCAAGCACTTTATTAAATACAAGTTGTTTTCTTTGTATAATATTTTTTAAGATTAATTTTAAACAAACAATTATAGCTAGCTTATATTTTTATTCATTCAGTTTTGCAGAACAATTTTTTCCATCCTAAAACAAACTAATACTAAATTTTTCTAAACATTTGAATGTTGTCACTTATTCACTTAACTGAATAGAAATTATTTATAACACAAAATAAATTTATGATGATAATATTTTACTAATTTAAGATTTAATAAAGTCTTGATTCAAGAATGCTATCATTATATAATAAATTTTATCCTGTAATTTATAATCAATCTAATAATATTAATAAACTATTAAAAGAACAAATTTAACAAATCTTTATAAAATATTTCAAAACTTAATTTCTTACTTCAGGAAAAAATTCTTGAGGAAATTTAGCCTTCTCTTTTGTTGTAACCCTTTCAATGTTACCTGAATGTACTTCTTTTCCTTCCACAGGTAAAAATGTATGTTCTGTATTAAAAAATTAAACATTAATATTTTGTTAATACAAAATCTTTTTAACATAATCTATATAATTGCTAATTAAAGAAACCAAAACTTTTACTTAAATGTTTCTGACTCCAAGTCATCTTTTGCTACAAATATTAAACAGTAAATTGAATATATACTTTCAAAATGAACTTAATAAAATACTTAAAGTTGACATATATGGAACATGCATATTATCTTTTAAAAATATCTTTACAGAATATAAACATAAAAATATATAATAAAGACAAATTTGTGAAAGAATAATAATTTTTACATCAAGAAATCCAGTCTCGCCCTTGCTTTCGTAAGAGTGAGACTGGATTTTTTACATTTTTTACATTAATATAATGACAAATGCATTAGGCTAGACCAATTAATATCTTATTTACAGTTTTTTAAAAGTCTTTGCTGTTCAATACCACTTGTGCATAATATTGTAACAACCTTACTATAATTAATGTATCCAGATGAATACAGTATTTCCATGGGATCATCACCCACTTCTGACAATATTGCAGAAGTAGAACTTAGTTGGATAGAAAGTCCCAGTGTTTAAAAATTTTGTACTGATATTAAACTTGTCTTCAGGTGCATTGACAAATTCATTATTCAGAAAAATCCAACTTATATTAAAGAATTCATAAATAACATGAATAAAAACTTTGACAGTAGTGCTTTCTCTATTGAACAGAGGTTTTAAAGTGTTATACACCATTAAATCAAAGTAGTTAAGAGCAAAAATCATCTATTGACAAAGGTTTACTGCAAACTAACAGTTGTAGGTTCCTATTTACATTGGAAATCCAACTATATTATCAAACACTGGCAGCTGTCAAAACCCTAGTTTCCATTATACTTTCCTCTCTGATATTGATAGAGATGAGAAGTTTTGTACAATCAAAAGTATTGCACATGGACAGTTTTCCAAATGATATAGTTAATATCATTAGAGCTTTTCATGGAAAGCAAAGACAGACAAAGCAATAGCATGAAACATATTCTAGAACAAATTTACAGCAACTTTAGCAGCTCCTTATGCTAGGCAATACAGATGTATAGTAAGATCTCTCTCAGTAATTAATATTCACTTTTGCAATAAAATTCAAACTAGCATACTTTTAAATTCATGCCTTAAAATTGGTCAAGCATGATGAAAATTTCTTTTATGTTGGATCTACTACAGAAATGATTGCAAAGAGAATGAATGACCATTTTTGTTCAGATATATACAGTGAAGACAGTACACTGTACAGTGCTGTTAGTCATAAATCAAAAAAACGTCTTAATTTCAGTTTTATCACATGTCTTTCAACATGAAAATTTTTGCATAAATACAAGTTGCTTCAATGTTAGTGAATTTTACACCATCTTCTATAACATTTTGTAACAAAAATAAATGGCATCTATAGACTCTTCCAGAAGTTTAGCATAGTAATTTTATTTTTATCAACAACACTTTTTATGGCAATGTGTACCTGAGCTCTTTCCCATAAGAGGAGGTTCATAATTCTAGTGTGTTCCATTTTTGGTCACAGAAGATGAAGCATGAATTTGTGAGTGTCAACAACTATTGTCCTCATTTTCAGATGCGGAGTTTAAAATATCACCAACTTCTGATGATTCAGTGATATGATCAGTATCTTTTAGATTCATTTTCAAAATTATCATCAAAATCATCATCACTGTCCACTTGCAAAGCATTTAGCAACTCACCTGTTCTAATATTTCTTTGTTTAGGCAATAGTGTTTGAACTTTAGCGCACAATAGATATAGCACAAATATGTCATTTTTAAGTAAAAACAATACTTTGTCAACTTATCTGGATGTTGTACTAAAAACAAGTATTAAGCAAACATGTAGAATGCTTATTAAATACAAAAGACTAGTAACTTATTGTCTAAATTATACAAATTCCAGCAAATGATTGTCACGCAACACTATAAAGTAATGAGTCTCTGAGACTCACCTTCTTATTTGTCAGAAATAACATTAAAACAATTTATTAATAAAATAAAAACTCTTTTGAAAATAATTTGCACCTAATTTGAAAAATTACTACAAAACATATAAAGTCAAAAAAAGCTTACATGTCTAGATAACTTTTTAATATAATATTTTTATACGCCATAATGAGTCAAAAGACTCAACTGGCCAAGAGACGGGTTAAAGTACTTAGTAAGAATGCTACAACATTATATACAAGATGGTGGCCAGTACTTGACAGCATAGACTTTTCAAAAATTATAAATAAGATGTTAACAAGTTTAGCCTAACACATTGGTCATTTTATTAACATACAAATATTTATTCCTTCACAAATTGTATTTTTTATATATTTTATGTTTATGCTTCTGTAAGAATATTTTAAATGATAATGTAGATGTTCCAATCATGTCAATTTAAAGTAGTTCTCTTCAGTTCGTTTTAAAAGTATATTCCACTTACTGTTCTTTAATACAGTAGACCACCTATAACACGGGTTCCTATAGTTCGGATTCCTATGTGACGGCGAAAAAATTGTGACAGTATTCGTACGAACACGCTAAAAAAACTCCTATAATTCGGTAAAACGTGATCTCCGACTCATGTCACGACAGGATTGGTCAAATCTAGACCAATAGCGGATATTATACAAACCGCTGAGTTTAAACGGGCAGCAGACCTACTAAAAACCATTTATTATTTAACAGCCATAAAAATTATATTTATATTAATGATGTCTCCAAAGTTCAGCAAATTTTTTGCAAAAAAAATAATTTACCAGGAAGCATGCAAGCGCCATTCAATGACAAGCTCCACGACAAAAACAAACTTAAGCAATGGCACCATCGAACAGTGCACACTCAGTAAGTAATCCTACAATTTTTTGTTTATAGCATAGTTTATATGGATTATTCCCAAAAATTATACGTATTTTGGAAATGTTGAGTCAAATTAGTCTAGAATTGATTAATTTTATGGAAGAAACCTTTCAAACAGCCGTAGTCTGTAAATTGCATATGTACCGGGCTGTGATTGGCTGGACTCGTAGAAAACGGATTCATAAAAACCAGAACATATCTACCGTGTTATACAGGGGGGGGTCGACTGTATATTCAAGATAAAGATGACTAGAATAAATTCAAAAATATTTATTAAATTAAAATTTTTGGATTAAAAAAAACATAACACCTTAATTTGCTGAGAAAATTTATTGAAGAAGCAAACGTTTTCAGCCAAATCTGTTGGCCATCATCAGGCTAAGATGTTCGAATTTAAACAAAATAGAACAACAAAAATTTAAATACAAATAAAATAAAATAACGACTGAAATATATATATATATATATAAATGTATAAAGAAAAATAAAAATTATTATTAGAAATAACAAAATATGTATATGAAAAAATAAGCATAGGTTAATTAAATATCAAAACGTTATATAGAAATTCANAAAAAAAAATACTAAAATTAAGGCATTAAACTAAGAGCTGTCTAATTGTTTGATTAAGTATTTCCATGCCGAAGGCAATCCTTCAGAATCTCTAGAATTAATGCATGCATCATGCAATCTGCTCTTATGTATTTCAATTTTTTCAGCGCACATCGCCAATGTCGGTGAATGTACTGGTTTAATAACACTTGCTTTCGTCCCATTTGACGATTAAGCCCTCAACTTGCGCCAATTGCGATAGTATTGTGACATTAGATCCCTTGCTGATATTGTATTTATGTTCTTTTAATTAATCTGACTCCTAAACTTCTATTAGTGACACCAATATAATTTTTATTAATGTCTAGTTCACGATTTTCATATGGAATCCTGTACACTCCTGCACTTTTTTATTTATCTATGCTGTCTTTGTCATTCCTTAATAATTTGTACAGGTTAGGAGCTCTCTTGAAAATTAAATTGGAGTTTTTGCGGGCTGAGATTTCCTTCATGATGGCTTCTATCTTTCTATCATAAGTGAACTTTGTGATTTTGCCGAAATCGCAGTTTTAAGTTTTAGTTTTGTTTATTTTGTATTTTCTGATCAATGTTGTTATCATATCTTCTCTGTACCCTAGAGATCTGGCAATATGTAATATTCTATTAATTTCTTTTTGCCTATCTAACACACTACTGCAATAGAGAAAGGCCCTTTGGATAAGGGCACGGAAGGAAGCCATTTTGTATTGGTAAGGATCATTAGAGTGGGACGGAATGTACAGAGGGCTATGCGTCGGTTTTACTTATATCTTAGTGACCAAATGTCCTTCTTTGAATTCAATGTCAATATCCAAAAAATGTATCCGTGAGGCAATTTCTGTTCAATTTTCAGCATGAGGTCATCATCGTTGTTGTTGATCTTGTTAATAAAATCATTGATTTTTTGGTCATTCTTCCAAACTACAAAGACACCGTCAACGTATCTTTTATTTTGTGGGACCAAATAGAAGTCCCATAAATACGTATCAAAAAAAGAACATAAATACAATATCAGCAAGGGATCTAACGTCACAATACTATCGCAATTGGCGCAAGTTGAGGGCTCAATCGTCAAATGGGACGAAAGCAAGTGTTATTAAACCAGTACATTCACCGACATTGGCGATGTGCGCTGAAAAAATTGAAATACATAAGAGCAGATTGCATGATGCATGCATTAATTCTAGAGATTCTGAAGGATTGCCTTCGGCATGGAAATACTTAATCAAACGAATGTTACATTAA